GAATTAACGATGCTATCTATTATCTAACCAAAAGGTCTACGTTTGAAATAACAAGATCAGGGATTCTTGTCCTGCCACACGGTAGCTTAAATTTTCCCCCAGAAAAATAATCTTTCTAACATTGAGAAGTGATCCTTTGGATAAGCAAGAAGCCTCTTTCTGATTTAGAACTTATTTCGAGGCATGTTGTAATTTATATTCACATTTCTTAGTTTTTTTTTGTACTCCTCAAGCTCTATAGTTTACCATTTTCCCATTCTATAATGTAAATAACCACTAAAATCGACGTTAGTAATCTGTAAATTTTATCGACAATCAACCTTTCAAGAGGAGATCGTTTGGCACAATAATAACTACTTGATGTTGCCTTTTCCAAAAGTCGTTCCCATGTAATGTAATGGTGGTGCGCACACTAGGACGGCACGGCCGTCACGGACGCCACCGCCGCCACCGCCGCCACCGACGTCTGTCAGAAAGTTCGGAGGAGCGAATCTCAGGACAATTCCGCGGCGTCCGTGACGTCCGTGCTGTCCCAGTGCGCGCACCCCACGGCACGGACGTCACAGAAAGACGTCTAGAAAGGCTCTCCTCTAGGTATCGAAGTAGACATTCGAACTTTTCATGGGTCATCCTAAAGTACTGGAAAAAATTGTCATCGTCCTCTACAAGATCGGGGAATAATGTGTGACATTCACCAAAACCTAGTCGTTTTCTATTTATATTATGTATCCAAAATATCGCTTTCCTCTTCCTCTTCTCCTAAAATTAATCCAACTACCACCACGTCTTCGTCGATATCCATAGCTCCCACACTCTCACTGCTCACAGCAAAACAACTCTACTGCAAAATACATCAGTCCAAAATGCTGTGACGGCCGGCCATGCCGTCGCAGTGCGCGCACCCCCCCCCCCCCCCCCTGAAAAAGGCGGTGACGGCGCAGTGCGCGCGTACCTTAAGTTGTAGTTGAAAGATTTGTCTGGGATCAATGGGCGCCAATGGTCTACCAATTACCAACAAACAACGTGTTTTCAATAATAATAATAATTAACTATTAGCATCGACTAGTATTGAAGCTACTTGCTTATTACGCGTTCTATATAAATATTCAATACTATAATATTCATCCATACAGTAGTACTTCTTGTGCGGACATTGTATCATTGACTAAAGTTTATAATTATTCTTGCCAATATCTATCCAATAGCAAACCCCTCGATTTGGAATTAACTATACCCGTGTGCTGTCCCATATGGATGGTGATTTCCTTCCCCTTTGAACACGTCGAACATACTTTTAATGTATGGATAAGTATTGAACTGTTTTGAAATTATGTATGTAAGAGGTAGTGTAATTTATCTGGGTAGGCCAGTAGTTTATAGTTCTTGCCAGTATATCTCAAATTCGTGGCTAAATCCCATTGGGGTTTATTTTAGACTCAAGATTCCCCACCAATCAAAGCGCTCAAAGATAAAAATTTTAAAGTTGAACTAAAAAGAATGTGTAACAATTTTTTGTTTTCAGTTCATCGCAATACTCGCTGCGTTATCTGTCTACCGCTGTGGATGGTTGTAATTTGTTCCACCTGCTTAGAGAAATTATTGTATGGTACTTTTCTTTAACATATACTACACGAGCTCGTACTAGTAATTTAAAACTGGACCCAATTATGACCATTACACCTACTAAATTGGTTCAGCCTGGAGCCCTGGTAATGAAACAATGTCGCAACCCGCAGCCCTGTCGGCCTTACCTTACCGTTTGAGGGGATCATTGAATCATTGGATCATTGGATCGTTCATGTCGACAGGTTTGCACAGTGTCGCCCGCGGGCCGCAGGAAACATAAATTTTGCTGCGAATTTATTTATTCGGCGTACGTTCAGTAACTGGGTTACCGACAGGAAGCCCCCACGTTGCAATTAGAGAGGCTGCGACTGTGTGTGTGTTTGTGTGTATGTTGTGGGAGAGGCGCGGTTATGTCAACCCGTGTGGGATACCGTGTGGGAAATTATGTTCCGGGGAGTGGCACACCTGTTGCCCCCAGTGACGTGCAGGGGTGTCTTATGTCTTGATGTGGTAGAGGGTTCTAGTATGTCCTTGGAATGTCTTTTATTATTATTTTTCTTACCTCGTTATCAACGATGGTTGAATAATTAATTGTCTTGTCTCTGGTTGGTATGACGTCACTTCTAAACACTTTTTATGTCACATCTCCATCTAAAAAGAAATATGCTTATTAGTTCAGCTTACTCCCGTGAATACTTCGGCATCCATTTGACGGACAAGAGATTTAATAGTTTACCGACACACAAAATAAATGAATTTGTTTATATGTTACTTTGTCGCCTTGTAGGCAATTAATAGTTTACATAAAACGCTGCCAAACGGTTAGCATACTTCCGTGGGTGCCTACAATCACAGACAATAAACCATTTGGTCATAGATAGACCACAGACAATTGGTCTATTCTATAGACCAACTAACAGAATATAGTTGTACTACAATATAACAGGAAGGTTGCTAAATCATCAATGCAGTTGATCGTAATTTTATGTATTAAAAACGGAAACTACTTTGTCGACATTTTACTAATCGGCAAAATCCAATAAATACGAAACAACTTAGTCGTAATGACGCTTTATCAGCAAGCAAGTTGACCGACATTGTTGAGTTCAGTGATGGGAATTGGCGAAGCTTCTTCCGTACAGCTTCCGACAATAGCCTATCACTAATTCTTATCTCCGGATTGTCCTATATTACGTGTATAATATAGTTCACCAGGAAGTGGTACGGAAGGTACGAGTGCCATCATGTGTTGTAGTGTATCGTGTAACCCGAGCCGCGGGTTGGTGAGAGGATGGGACATCCGGCGTCCGTGACTCAGACCGAGCTCGCAGGTGGACAAGTCTCCAACGTCCATCTTGTAGGGAAGAAATATTGTAGGGCTATTCTATTGGTGTATTTTTTTTAACGTAAACAAGTTGGCGAAATGCGTACTGGTGTTTGGTGTTGTCCGTGAACGGCTAAAATCTTGTAATTAGACTTTATTGCTGGATTGCGTGTTTTAAAGCGAATATTAGTGAAGGATTGTGCTAAAAGGATGAGATGGTAATTTTTTACTGGCTGGTATCAGTTGGTTAAATATAGCTAACTTCATTAAAATACCGATGGTTAAGAACTGATGCGCCGGCCCCCGCTTCGAGCTGTCAAAAAGCGCTTTTCTCAAGAAATAACTGACATCCCAGGCAAGCACAAGGAAATCCAGGCATTGTTCCGAAATGCAAAACTACGAAAAACGCACCGTTTCGGGTTTATTTTCGACCACTGACCATGTGCGGTCGTTCGAACAGTGCATTTTGGGTTTATACTTCATCTTGCACATTTTTCGGAGTAATGCCGCCCACCGCTCGTCGTGATACCGAGTATTGGTAGTGCGGTAGTGGGGCGGCGGCGGCGGATATGATCAGTATGTGACGGCCACCACGGCGCGGCACGGCGGCCCTCATATCAATACCGGCCATTGTGATTGTCACTTGCCTCTGTACTACTAATGAACTGCCACTGCCGACACCGACACTGGGAGGTCGGCGATAATGTTAAATGAACGGCTAGATTCGAACAGAACTAAACGATGCTAGTAAAGAAATTAGCAGAAATATACTGTAGTAGACTTCACTGGTTGTCCAATCGATCTGTGGACGGAATAATTATGTTATGTGAATTCGACAGCCAGAAACAAGTGTCCGTGAATTGTGTTGGATTCATAGATATTGAATAATCTGATATAATCGCCATTGCTTCTCATTTCGCGTCATCTTGTCAAGTAACACGGTCGCGAGCGCAATTTGAGGAAAATATCACGACGTTGCCATCCCGCGGGCCGCGGAAGTCGAGGATGTTGCCGATTTTGCGATAAAATGATCACGGACTCGCTGCTGGAGATTGTCACAAATGCTGCCACGATCACGAGAAATTATCACGTAAATTGCCGCGATCCCGGGAAATTATCACGAATGTTGTCCAGGATTTTAAGATTCATTTAAGATATGATTTGTCCACAGATAGTTTAAACTGCCTATACCGACACTGGGTGGTCGGCGAATAAGTAGGGAGATAATGTTAAAGTAAGGACTAGATTAGAAGGGATATGATCTACCACTTTTTTCTATTGAAATGGGTACATTAAAAATATTAGGAAGATTTCAATGACGGTTCTGTCTTATTTGTCTTTCGTTCTTGTTCTTTTCGTGGTTTGTGCAATATAAACGAAAAACAAAGTTTATTGCAAGAAAACACAGTTTAATTTTTCTGCAAATCTCTTGAACTTTTGTTTTAGGTGTATTCTGTTGTGGTTTAGGCCTATCAAGATTAATTTGAGAATTTCACAGTTTTCCAAGTTGATAAGTAATTTTCGTTATTGCATCTTTTTGGCTAATAGGCACCCTGGAGTTTTTATCCATTATACCACTATTTTCACTGTAGTTCTTAGTTAGTTAGAACTGTAGTCCTTAGTTCAGGTTAGTTATAATGAAAAAGATAAATGTTGGCAATTGATTAAGTTTAACATTGATTTTTATTTTATACTTGTTACTATACTTGATAGATAGTTATATTACACTAGTCTAACTTGAGCAGGAAAACTAACTAAATGTCTGGTTATAGCCGTATGTTGGGGATACAATATTTAGAAACAACTTCCTGACTTAATTTGTTTTGGTTATCATAGGTCTAGGTTTTGAAACTGCTCTAGAAATATAATTATTATATTTACTAGGAAAGCTTAAACTACCATTTAAACTTAAGATACTCTTACACTGTGTAAGGAGGTTGAAGAATCTCACTCCAGCATAAAAAGGTTCTAAACAACTTGGACATAAATAATCTTCATACACCACTCTGAGCATAGGCCTACAACTGTGATTGTTTTTTTTTTTTTTTTTTACTGTAAATCTTCACTTAATGTATGTTTCTGAGTTTTAACCCAAACTACTGTGTTGCAGTATTCCAACATCAGGATAGGTCCTGTGGTCAAGAAGGACGTAATGAAGGCATCCACCATGTTGGAACACGAAAGCCAGTGAGTATAATCAAGTCAAATAAACATGGATGTGTTGCTAGGCTTGTCTTGGACTTCAAAGGAAATTTTGTGATTACCTAGAAATATCTCATAGGTTTGGACTACTTTCCCTAAAGTGTTATTAATTATTTCATACAAAATGTCACTGACGTAGAGACTAGAACAACACTAACTTACTTAACCTTGCTGGTTTAAGAGAGGATTTGGTGTTATTTATAGCTGTGAGGATTGAAAAAATCTGTCACCGGAAATATAATTATAATTATTACTTTTACAATACAACCTAACCTATTACATTTATCAATTATATTTTCCACACACTTGTTAAAAGTAGTAAAACGTTGTCATGTATTCACTATATTTTCTTCTGAACGTATCTGTTTTTTTTTTAGATACGCAACAATCCTTGCGTTTGATGTGAAGGTGGAGAAAGACGCCCAGGAGTTGGCGGACACCCTGGGAGTGAAGATCTTCCAGGCAGACATAATCTACCACCTGTTTGACAAGTTCATGGCCTACCGAGAAGAGCTCAAACAGAAGAAGCGGGACGAGTTCAAGCACATCGCTGTCTTCCCGTGCAAGCTCAAAGTCCTACCACAGGTGAGCACTGTCTCAATACCTTGAGATATTGAAGATATACACTATTTCTGTGGACATTCTAAAGATCGTAGTTGGGAGTGAATAGTTAACTGTTATCTTCTGCTGTGTGAGAGAGAATATCCATCAGACCTTTGTGGCAGTATAAAAGCTATTAGAGTGGCCATTATAGTCTGACAAACAGTTTTGATTTTGATTTAGGTATCAGACTGTGGCGTAGCAAGGGCACTTACTCGTGGCCAAGGAAGATGTAATATTTGGCTGGGGTTCTACTTTTATGGAATACATATGCTTGAGGGGAGCCAGAAAATTTGGCTTATTTATAAACATAAAATCTTCAAATAACGCTAGTTTTGATAGTTCCATTTATTTATGTACAATCACAACAAACTTATTTGTTCAACTTTTGATGTTTTTGCCACACTCCCGATTCCTCAAGAAGGTGATCATTGATCAAGACCGTGCACATTGTCCTCGACCCCCCCCCCCTTCTGTACTGCAAAGAAAGTTTAATATAAAACATACCTAGTAAAATATGAATGTATAGAATGTTTTTCTTTATGTTTCAGTTTGTGTTCAACTCGAGAGATCCAATCGTGATGGGAGTCATGGTAGAAGCAGGAATTGTGAAAGAAGGAACTCCAATCTGTGTGCCAAGCAAAGATGTGAGTAAATTGTCCATCATGGTTTTTTTAACTTTAATTTTTTAAACCTGATTCGTGGCATGCATATACTTCTGGATTTTATTAGGAGAGGTTGTTACCTTATGTTCTTAGGAGAAAATGGAAGGTTTTTAAGAACTAGTGGAGTGGGAGGGGGGTGGCATAGACAAGGCGACAGTCTGGACTTGTAATTCACTGCTACCTCTGCCTCACATTCGATTAATGGCCACACATGTTTTTGTCAAATTGTGTTTAAATGTAGTTGTTCTTCATTATGTATATTTAGACTTTTTGACAACCTCTTCGGTGTGATTTTATGTTCTTTCTTCGTCTGAGGGTGAACTCATTGCTGGGTTGAAACCGGTCACCGCTCATCGGTGACGTTGACAAATTGAGGTATTTTAACCTCTAATAATTTAAATTGTGATCAGGAGTCAAAAACAACTAGTCTATAGTCGAGGCCACATAAGTTTGCAGTTGGGAACAGTCAATCACAAGACAAGGCTAGTGCGACGTTGCCACATCACCCGTTGACAACACTAATTAAAACATACTAAGTAATATGTTCAAATAAGCTGGTATTATTAACGATAATTAACGGTAATTTTAACGAGAAAGACAAAAATTAGAATCTACAAAACTATAGTAAGACCTGTACTTTTATATGGAGGGGAAAATTGGATCCTGAGCAAGAACTCAGAAAAGAAAATAATAACTTTTGAGAACAAAGTTTTGAGAACTATATATGGGCCAGTATGTGAAGATGGAGTATGGAGAATCCGCCACAACCGGGAGCTAAGAGAATTATTTCAAGACCCTGATATCATTGGAGAAGTTAAGAGTAGAAGATTAAGGTGGGTTGGCCATATCCTAAGGAGAAAGGAGGAGAGTCTACTGAAGATAGCACTCAGAGGAAATCCGAGGGGAAGAAGACCAATAGGTAGACCGAAAGCCAGGTGGTGGGGTCAAGTACGAAAAGATTTGGAAAGGATGAGGCTTGTAGAGGAAGATGCATGGGACCGAGACTATTGGCGACAGCGTGTTGGCGAGGCCAAGTACCAGCTAGGGTACAAGTGGCCATGGCAGTAAGCAGTAAGTAAGCTGGTATTATTAGATTTGGCAACACCGCACGGTTCTCATTGGTTCATTCAAAACCATATGGTAAATAGGCTCCTCCCTCAACTGCAAACTTACGTGGTCCCGACTCTAAGTGAGTTGATCTGAAGTAGTGTACACAGCATTTTTTTAAGTACAGTAAACTCCCTCTTATCCGGACTCCTCGGGACAGAGGCCAGTCCGGATAACGGTTTTTCTGGTTAAACCGACGTCACTAAAAACAGACCGTTTACTGTAATATTTGACTTAAATTTAGGAGAACATTGTATTTAGACACGTGATCACTGGTCTCAACAAATCTTTCCCACGAAAACAGTCGTTTCAGTAGCGCCCACTTCCTGCTGATATAGTCCGGTTAAACCAATGTGCTGATAAGAATTTTCTGGTTAAAGAGATGTCATTTCCGCTGAGTGTAGTCCGCTTAAACCGATGTCTGGTAAAAAGGTGTCCGGATAAGAGGGAGTCTACTGTATTCAACATTGATTTTTTTTCAAATGGATTGTAATGGCTTGAGGAGTAACAATGTAAGAGATTGCTTGAATGATATCAGCTGTTTGAACGAAATAGAGCAGTTCGTTGGAAGTAAAGATGCAATTTTACATTCTAATGATGACTAGGTTTGGGGCGATGAGAGAAATAGTGGTTGTTATAGAACGTTTTCCGGCAATCCTTCGAGTGGGCAGTGATGCTAGATAAGAGTAATGCTAAAGATTGAGATGGCAACACTGGCCTGTGAAGGATAAAGGTCCTGGGGATGGTGTCGTTAGACGGACAAATATACTAAATAGCAACATCAGAAAGATGCAGTCCAGGAGATGGCAACATTAGGCTCATACATGAAAAGAACACAGAGATCGGCAGAGGAAAAAGCTAGAAAGAGGTAATGTTAGGCCCCTGGAGGTAGGACAAACCATGCCTGTGGGTAGTAAGACCGTTACACATGTTTACAGGTTTACTATTATAATACTTTGTTAATGGTACTGTTAATGTCATTATAAATTAGAATAATATGTAATTAGAATTGGTTTTCAAATGTATAATGCAATCTAGACTAATCACTGTCAATGGTTATAAAGGAAGTGTTGAAGCTTGGAAACCAAGTATAAGTCATAATACCCAATGATCAAAGGTAAAAACTATTGACAAAGTGTTCACGGCAAAGTCTTAAACCTTTTCCAAAATGTTTCCATGACAGTTAGTTGTTTTTGTAGACAAAATACAGTAGTACTACTGTATCTTACTACAACAGTTACTAGTCACAATTGCAAGTGGTTTTGATTACTTTAATTTAATAAAATTTTACCATTTTTAACAATATGACTCTGATTATACAAAATTATTATATCTTTTCAAGAGCAGAATTATTGTTTTATCATCATTATAATTTAGCCTTTAAAACACCGACCTTGAACCTAAAACCATAGTTACTGACTTGTGTGTGTTTTGACTGCCAAATTTATTGGTTGATATCAATTTGCTATTAAATTTGATAGGTATAAATACAATCTTTGAGGAAAATATTTAACACTTTTGGAAATATGAAATGCTGTTCAGGGTTTTGTAAGTTGTTCCAAGTACTATGTTTACCGCCTTGTCCTCGCAACATCATAGAGCATGCTGCATTTCAGCCGCCTTCACCAACCTACGAAGTTCAGTTAGACAGCAAATCCTCCAAATATTCATTTAAAATAACCAGGCCAAGCTTGCATCGTAGGTTAAAATGGTTTTACCGCTGTGATATTCCGAAGGACATTGATGTGTTCTACGCAGACACCAAATACTCCTCAAAAATCTTGTGTGTTTATTACGCAGTAACACCAGCTGTTAAAACCACAATCTTGTATTCCCACGGGAACGCATCAGATCTCGGGACTGTGGCTATGGTTTGCGTATGGCTCGCGCGTAAATTAAATTGCAACTTTCTTGCTTACGACTACACAGGTTATGGAAGAAGCACAGGAAGACCTTCGGAAAAGAAAATTTACGCGGACATAGAAACAGCCTACAACATTCTCTTGGAGAAATACAACTGTGACCCAAAAGATATTGTTTTGCTTGGTCAGAGCTTGGGTTCAGCCCCGACGTTGGAGTTAGCCACCAAAGTGTCGGTCGGAGGCGTTATTGTACAGTCAGGGTTTTTGTCGGCCTTCAATGTGGCTTTTCCTCGAGAGGAACCTAGACAGTTGTGCTGCGACTTGTTTAACAATGGAGGGAAGATAGCCAAAGTAACTTGTCCAGTGTTGGTGATTCATGGAACTGACGATGATGTGATCAACATGTCTCACGGACTCAACATTTACGAGAGGAGTCCGAACGCTGTAGAGCCACTGTGGCTGGAAGGAGCCGGACACAATGATGTTGAGTCATATGTGCAGTTCACCGAGCGGATCAGGAGGTTCTTGGAGGTTGAATTATCACACGGACATTGCTATGTTGATGATTGTACTGAGAAAACACCCTGAAAAGATTCTCCCTTGTTGGTGAAATGATATTGATTTTTTGAGTAAAGCGTTTTAAAATTTTGTTTGGTTAATTTATTAATTAGATCTCTTCCAATAACATTTTAAAGCTACAATAGAGATAGTATATTTATTTTGGAGTGATTTTCTACAACACTGATGCTTTACACAATAACACTAATTAGTCAGTAAATGATGACAACCCAAATAAAATTAAATTAATTTAAATCTAGCAATTTAAATTAATATAGTAGGCCTACATGTAATTGGCAAAGTAATTAATCTAAAGTGTGAAATGGAGTACTGTAATAATAATAGCAATTAATTCACTGTGACTAGGCATTCCGATTAATGTCTAGGCGTTTCATTTTATGCCCATGAATGTGTCAGGCAAAGAAGCAAAGAAAAATATTTGTTGGCAAAACCTATTTAACCTTGCGTATTAAAATAATTTTGTATATGATTAGGTTTGTTTAGTTTATATCGTGCCAATCTGCCAAACAAAGAAAAAAAAGCTAAATAGTCCTCAAAGAGAATATTTCATACTTAAAACGTAGTAACAATGGCATTCTATAGAATGACTATACTGTACTACTAGGCTAAGTTTATTTTTAGGCTTTAGTTTATACTTTCGTGACTAATCTTCGGCAATGTATGGATTCCATTGAATACCTAATTTTATACTATGATGGTAACATGTGTGTGTAAATCTTAAAATATAAGTGTTTTTTTAGTGAAATGTTAATAATTCAGTATGGAATAGAGAAATTTTCCAAATTTGATTAAAATATGTTCATAAACAAGCAAAATTAAAAAAATAATTTTTTATTCTCGATAAGAATATAAGATTTTTAAAATAACAGAATTTTCTCCTTAACCATTTAATCACATCAACCCTTTCATTCCCAAACATAGAAATAGCTATTAAAAAAAAAAAAAATTGTGTGTTTCTTTCTATATAGGCCTACATTTTAAATATGCAAAATACATGAAGTTTGGACCAATTTTTCTTTTTATAAGAAAGTTAGAATCATGAGTCCACATGGAGTCATTGGGCATCTTCAACATGGAGGAACACTGAAACAACCTATTAATAAGATACTAAAAATTTTTTATATTTTCAATAAACACAATAAAATATCAATATATAAAAATGAATACGGTATTACATAAATCACTTTATTTGGGATTGTATTTATTATTTGTAGTATACTTAGTTGGAAAAACCAAATTTCTAGGTAAATTTCAACAGAAATTTACATGTAAAACTCGGAATAAATTGCCAAATAAATTAAATTTTTAAGTGTATTTCTTTGAGAATATATTTACACACAAACAAATAAGCAGAACTTATATTTTGTATTTATTTGCATGAAATTTAAATACTTTGTGATAGTTCAAACCAATGAAAATCCTGCTTCAATCTTGGCCGTAGATTCCCAATGATTCCATATGAACTCATAATTTATTTTGATCCTAGAGAGGTTATGTTTTCAAATATTTGCCTGAAACAATTTACAGTATATAGCATTCTAAAACTATAATCAATGCACTAATATTTTTTCCATACTATATATGTTCATATCTTAACACAATAAATTCCCAAAATGATGGAATATGCGGTTGCAGCCAAAATCATGTGCTGGGGTCTGCCTTATAAAATACAGTAACAACTTTGTAACCAGGGAAACAGTTATTCCAGTGCTGCCAACTTCAAGAATATAAGTTTACCTACCCAAACATGAGTACAGATGGAATCATTGAGAAACAACTGGCTTTATAAACTGCAATAAAAATCATGATTCCATATGTACTCACTGGGAATGAAAGGGTTAACACTTCAATGAACTAAATTATATGGGGTTTTAAGCTCTACAAAATGGTTTAGACAGCAATTATTGAAATATTTGTTTGTTTTGAGGTTCAAAAATGGGAAAGTTTAATTTTTACGTTATAAAACCCCCATAAACCCCTGTTCCTGTAGTTCGATCATGCTGGTTCACAAACTTGTGAGAATAAATCTGATCATTTCTCCATTTGTGCTTGAGTTATCGTGCTATTTATTTGACACACTTATGTGAATTTGCATGGATTGTCTTTTTGGTCTCTGAGGACCACAAATGGAAAAGTAAATCTGTCCCGGCTCCAGGTCTTACCATGATGAGACCTACGGTAATAACTTATTCCCTGTATGGGAAATTCGCTAAAGTGATTTTACAATCATCGCTAGTGTTAGATCTTTGAAATTTTGTTTTAAAGGAAGCGAACTAAATTTATTATTCCCCCCAAACTTGTCCACATTATATAGTAGTTTCTAGAAATCCATACATAATAAAGGATATTTTAAGATTTGATTCTATGAACAAAATGTGCTAATACTTTCCATCCCATCCAGAAACTACTTGAATGTTTTTATCAAATAAATTGTCTGTTACCCCTGTAAAAAGTTCACAATTTTTTTATGTTAGAAATTCACCAATATTCCCATTTTTAAATTGACCAATATTATCACGTGCGACATATTTAAGAGTTACTTATGTTTCCTGTGGAAAAACCAATGTTTGTATGAAAACTTTTGCTTGTATGCTGTTTTTTTATTGGAAAAAATGTACAAATGTTCACATGTAAGAGATTATTGTAAATAGGACTTCAATGTAAGGTTAAAAAACTTGGAATAATTAGAATGTTTTCATATAGAAAATTTGATATTGTTTCTATATTCTTTATACAATTCTCTAATGCTTAAAAATAATAACACTTTTTCATTGGTTAATTAGGACTGTGTTTTAAGTGATTTGCCATTTGGAGTGTTAGAACATGACTGTGGTTGCAATTATTTATAAAAATTCTCAATAGGGAAATCAAATTCAACCAAGAGAAAGCAAATTATTGCAGTTTCAATGTTTTTTTTTTCATTCTCAAGGTCAAAATAAAATACAACCATGAGCAAACCACTGAAAAATACTTTATTCTATCAAAAACACAATAATTGTTACACAGAGTTTTACAAACAGATGGATTATTCCCAAATACTGTAGGCAAAGCCTGTGTCTGGAGAATGAGCTTCACCAGTAGTCAAACATACAACTTGATAGAAAAATTAATTAATAACTAAAATTATTATTTTACATAGTTTTGGAAAAAGGAGAAGGATTGCACATTGAGCTAATACAAATAAAAATGTAAAAACTGCAGGAAACTAAGAGAGATCACGGGCAAAACAAAACTACTCATACGTAAATACCACTATGTTTCAATGATTTCCAGAAATTATTAAGGGCGAAATTAAATTCAACCATAAGCAAACCACTGTGTTTCAATGATTTCTGAAAATTCCCAAGTGGAAAATCAAACTTAACTATGGCTATGAGCTAATTATTAACCAATTTAACTACTATACTTCTCAGAGAAAAATCAATCCAAAACATGAACATTGAACACAGCTCAGTTTACGACTTGCTTATCATGTTTGTCACCTCGCCAGACACTGATGTCTGCCAAGGTCGTATCTTCCTTCCTCTGACAGACAATAGCCATAGACTATAGACATAGACACACGCCGCTATGTCCTGTAGATGACGCTCAGTAGTGAACTGTTTATACCAACTAGAGCCAGGGACAAAACCCTGGAATTAGATGTAGTCTTAAGCGATATTAAAAATGATATCCTATGCATATCCGAACATTGGCTTAACACTGAAGAGATAGGCTTTTATAGACTAAAAGATTATCATTTGGCCACATACTATGCACGGGACGATATGGTGCATGGTGGATCAGCTATCTATGTAAAAAATGGACTAAAATATAAGGTTATGGATGTTGCTCGTTTTTGCTCAACTCAACATTTGGAAGTTGCTGCCATCAAACTCGAATGCAATATCATTGTAGTCAGTGTGTATAGATCACCTAATGGTGATGTAAATATATTCCTCAATCAGTTTGAAAGGTTATTATGTCTTCTAAGTCTTAAATCGTCTTCCCTTGTCATCGGAGGGGACTACAATGTAGATTTGGTGGCTGATTTTACCAAACCAATCCAGCGTGAACTTGCAAGACTTATGAGGCAGTTCAACTTACATCCAACCAACTCTACGCCTACAAGAGGTAATGCAGTTCTCGACAATATCTTGACTGATCTCAATTATTCAAGTTATATTAATACAGTTATGGATTGTGGCCTTTCTGACCATGCTGCAGTTAACTTAGACATACGCCTAGCCTATTCCGAGAAAACTTATTTATTTATTTATTTATTTATTTATTATTATCAACGGTTCCACCATTTTTAACAATGTAAGTAATGATAACAATCAAGACAGCTAGATTTTAAATAAATAACAACAATAATATCAATAAATTAATAACAAAATTACAACTATAATCTATTTACAATAAAGATTTTGCAGTTTAATGATTCGTTGACATGCAAGTACAATGTTGCCGAAAGATGATGAAAACTCTCTTAATAATACATTAATACAGACTCAACAAAATCATGAGACAATAATAAGTTCCAATCATCAAGTTACATGCTACTGTATAATGAGACAATACAGATATAAAATCAAATATGCAACTATGCAAACAAAAGTTATACAAACAAACATTAGAACGAGTAATGCAATGGCAGGGTGAGACAATGAATGCAAATGAAGATAACGCAAAGAAGAATAAAGGAATACAGAGAGTGAGAAGAAAATAAATGAGCTATTACGGGATTTCCATTTGATCTATTTCTCTTCTGAATTTGGAGACAGATGTTCCGAAGAAATTTACTTGTGTTGCTGTGTCCCCACCAATCCGAAGAAGTCTGGATATCCCACTGTTATAGGCATAGTACACGGGCATGTATTTTCTCCTGAGAGCTGACCTGGATCGAGTTCCTATGGGGACCTTGATGTCAATCCTCTCAAGCAGAGCCGGACTATCAATGTAACCATTCAACAGCTTAAAAAGGAAGGTGAGATCCAACACTTTACACTTATCTTGAACAGTCCAACTCCCTTGTATACCATAGGCCCATAACAGAAGCCCGAATAAATACCTTCTTCCAGTTTTTA